AAGTCAAAATGGAAAGATCCATTAATGATTAAGGAGGTTTTATACTTTCACTGCTGTAGCAAGGGGCGCGCCTGATCTCAATGATAGTTTGCATGTTTTCGTTACAGAGTTGTAATACACGACATTGCATAGGGGAAGAGGGAGAATAGGAAAGAAAAAGAGTCTGGTGTAGAAAGTGTATTAACTATGTCACTTAAGTTTTTTGTATTATAGATCGTTCAGGGAGCAACCTCAAAATTCGGAGGTCTCTTCATTACTTTCAGACTCAGATTTTTGCGTTGTTCTTGGGAGAGGAAATGCGCTGGCAACATCCTCGTTTTGTTACTTCACACCGAAACCGAAACCAGTATTGTTAAGCCGGTTTCGTGCTTAGGGATTTCAACAATAATAATTGTCACAAGTTGTTAATTTATAACATCTTTTCTCTCTCCCTCTTTCAGAGGATTCCATTCCTTCTAGCTATCATTCTTACGCTGACCCAAGTGACTGCGGGCTTTCCCCAGCCGATTGACGTGTTAGATCCAAGTGAGGAGGAACATGTGTTTCCGCCTTTGGAATCAACTAATGGCACTTTAAAGTAAATAAACTTTCATTTCTAAGGGAGATGTAGTATCCGCTAGACTAGACTGATCACAGGTATTAAAAATTAGCACTTTCTCGTGATAAAACGTAAGTCATAATCCAGGTAACGGTCTAACTGTATACTGCGTTCACTAGTGGTCAGTTTTAATTCTTACAAATTTAGTTGATGTAAGGAAAGAGCGACCAAGAAAATAGGTCCGCAATGCATACTTCGATTTCGTGCATGCCAAGCTGATCGTGTATACATTGTATTTTTCAGCATACTCTAACCTGGAAAAAATACATAATGAATCTGTCTGCCATAAAACATGTGTACATGCAGTCTACGTACACTTGTACTGTTTACTTGAAACATTGTTTCGTTTGGATCGGAAGCAATGTGCTGTTTTCAATAGAATAGTATTAAATAGCAGCGTGACGGCATATAACCTCATACGCAAAAGTTCTTTGGGCTATCTTCCTCCCAAGATTGCGTGACGTGCTCAAAGAGCGTCTGCGAAGGAGGCTAGTATGCATATGATTTGGTCAGTTAAGTAACGAACAGCATAGGAAGCTACTGATGCTTTGCGGACCTATTTTCTTGTTTGATTTGACCGTACAAATTCAAGCTTTGTTAGAATCTAGCAATACATTCCCGACTTTCTTTTGTACAGCTCCCGCTCTCATGTTGCAAAACGATTCCTAGACGACACTCGCGCCTGCCAAGAGATCTACTCACGACTGGACCCCCAGAAATACTTCAACAGTAAAGATACCTTCATTCCCAGGTTTGCCTACAGCGTCAAATGTGAAGGCACTCCAAGCGACCCTCCGGCCTGCGGTGTGACGGGTGGGAGGATGCGCTGTTTGACAAGAACAGGACGCGTGGAATTCATGCGTATACCGAGCGGGATTGGACAATGCTTCAGGCGCAGGCGCGTGGTGATTTCCGACGTGCCTGTAGGATGCTACTGTGTGTAAGCTACCTAAAGCGTCCAGGAGCACTCCCCTTACTTAATTTCCCTTAAAATGTCACTATTTAATGAAATGTTCAATGTAAAGTTCCTGAGACCAAAAGCGGCTCCTGTTATCTAAGGTATACAGAGTAGCGAAGTTAAGCAAGTGTCACACATTTTGCCAACTCAATTTAGATTAAATTAAAAGCGTCTATCACATCATTTAGTTTCATTTTCTTGTAAACTACCGTTTTAGTGGACACGCATCACACTTATGTCTATAGTCGCCAAGTTTGAAATCCTTCCGGCGTTATTTACAGACGCTTTTAATGAAGCTTCCGTCGCATGAAAGTAGAATAAAGTCCCTGGTTTCTTGAATGAAGCCATTTTGTAAAGACACGTAGAGGCTGCACATTCCATTGCCGTACAGCGAAATCTTAATCCGTGTGAGTTTGACGGAGAACACGGCGTTGTCAGCCTCGGAATCCACCTCTCATGCAGCTAATGGTCTTTTACAACTTCACGCATGCGCTTGGCCTTCCTGGTGGAAGGGTGCCAAACTTCAAAACTGAATCGGGATAAATATCCTAAAATTTAACCTTTCAAAATGCTAAAAACTGTAAGTACCTCGGGAAAGATTAAACCAAATCGTAGCATTCAAGACGTCTAAGTAAAACGGAAGTAATGCTCCGTAGCTTTCATTNTAACAGTAAAAAATTAATAGAAGTCACTGTTAGTGACAATCTTACCCTCTTAATAGCAAACAAAAATCCAGTTTTTACATCTTCACAAAAATAACAGCGCCCACAAGAGCCTCCTCCAATGTATTTCACTCGCCTCCAATGAAAACCCTCAACATAGCTTCCATCTTCACCAACACTGAGTACATGCTGAAAAAAACAACATAAAAAGTTGAATGAAATATCAATATATATGTTACGAAACTGTACACTCTGAAACAACAAATTGTGCTGCTAGATACACCGATAATAGAGATCATTTGATCTCTATTTTTTCAATACAAAATATTTAACATTATATATAACACCATGTTTAATTTCTGATGATTTTGTTTTAATGAGATGAGCTGTTTACTTAGGCTTTCATGTTAACCTCCTCCTCATTGTTGGACAAGAGACATGTAGGAACAATTTACAATTTACAGTTTAGTTCAAGGGAGACCAAAAAAAAAAAGGAAAATTACTAAATAAATTCTTCCCCACCCTATGCAAAAACATATCAAGGAAACATATGAAACGTATCAAGGAAGCAGGTGTGGGAAGGGAATCTTCCGAAATCTTTGAACTTTCCTCAATGTTACTGTACAAGGCAGATATATACAGTCAAAAGAAATATTGCAAGGAAGACAGATGGCAGAAAGGAGCTGATATTCACAAGATTACCTGATCTAGTGGCCAGATAACTTCCCCTTTTCCCTCCTGAGTAATAGGCTTCACCGTCTGCCTAATATCAGGCATACATGCTGCACTGAGCGGTGCGGTAGACTCCACTTTCCCATCACTTACATGCTGCTCAAGCCTAACTTGAGCATTAACAGTTGGCCCTCTGGCGACTTGGGCATCTGGTGATCTTTCCCTTGTCAACAGGTCAGACTGTTGCTCTGTGGCAAGCAGAACGTCTGGAGGTCTGTCAACATGGTACTGGTTCCACACCCCTGAGGACTCACGTAACGATTCTTCTATTGAAGATGTCAGACTTCCTTCACTGATCAGGGACTGATGATTCAGATTGTCGGCATCATTGGTATCATGGACCTCTGATCTTGAACTGAAATCTGCCTGACACAGTTGCGCCATAAAATGCTGATCAACATGATTGCCTTTCTCAGGACTTGAGGTGGGTGTTGCTGGTGGGCTGGGCCTGAAGAATAACTCATCAAGCTTGTAAGGCCACTTCCTGTTGTTTGGTATTCTGTTTTCCTTCAAATATTCCCTGATGGCGTCACACTTTTGAACAACACAAGCTCCCATTGGGAGGTGGCATCTTGACGCATGGTAAAGGAGGGATTCTTTAAAGCAAATGCATTTTTTGCAACCTCCTAACACACGCATGTGGCAGTTCTGGGAGTGGCTGAGGTATTCCTGGATTTCCCGACAAGAAGCTTCACCACATTTTTTCCATTCATTCTCTGAATTTAAGAAGCGGCGGCAGCTGAAAGCTTTTTGCAAATGCTGTTCTGTTTCATGAAGATCAGTTTCTGGATGGCACTAAAAAAGAACACAGTTTGTAGTTATCAGAAGAGAATTACTTTTTAATTAATATGTGAGTGTATATTGGTAATAATTTGACCAGATTGGTGGAATGTACACCACAAATATATGAAGGGGGACTAACTCACTTCCTCATCTTGACACCATTTGCTTGTTGTATTGTATAAAAGAGTTGAATTGAATTGAGTTATTTCAGCTGTCCCTTGAAATTGACAATATCAACAAAGTTGGATGTCACAAGTTTATCCATGGTAATTGAAGGGGTGAGT